GCCCCTCTCCGGCGTAGACGGGTGGGCCGAAGAAGGCAGGCAGCTGTGACTGCCGGTCTTCGACGGCCCTAAGGTGGCCTGGGCGCGGCCTGACCAGCCGCGCGCCCTAGGTGCCGCTCCGGCATAGGCCACCACGTCTGGGGACTGCCTAGTACCCTAGCGCAGTCCCCCTGAGGCGCGTCGCCCGGTCCACTCGTTGGGCCGGGCCTGCCCGGGGGCGGGCTCGGAGTTGTGGCGCACGCAGGTGCGTCGGCCCCGAGACGCCCCCAAATGGGCGTAGGAGGGTACCGGGGGGTTTTAGTGGAGTAGGATCAGTGTGGCCTTCCGCACTGGTCCTGCTTGAGTAGGGTCGGCACTGTTTCCCGTGCCGGCGAGTCCCACACACGCCGTGCGCCTAGTCAGCGTCACGGTATGGTGCGTAACTGCATTTCCCCTCGTCACAAAAAAAAAAAAAAGTATCCCATAACACAAACCTTACAGTGCTTACTTTGGGATTAGGCTAATTAGTGTGAGTGTTGGAAATATGAGGAGCTCGATGGCGCAACTTGTTAGCGCGTTCGGCTGCGATCGTTGAAGTTAAGCAACTTTCGCAGTGGTCGGTCATTGGATGGGTGACCAAAAATTTACTATCTCGAGCTCCTCCGTGCTTCGGAAAGCACGTTAAGCCGTTGGTCCCGGTTGCATCTGCAGTCGTTAGCACCCACCAATCCGCACTGGGCGCAATCCGCAATTCCATCCTTATGGAAGGCCTGTGCCCCAGCAGTGGGGACATTAATAGGCTGATGATGATGATGTTGTAAATATGTATTAATTTCTATTAATAAGTATGGATTAATGTTTGCGTAATCAGTTTCGCCTATTAGTCTCGTCTGCATCCGCAGTCATTAAACACCTACTATAAGTTAGGTTGGCCTTTAAGAGGCGATGAACATAAAATGGCGTCTTTTCGGCATATTGACCGCCATTTTGAATGATTATAATGGCGCGATTACAAGATGGTGGTTAGTCTGAATACGAGTGCCAATGGTATTCGTATGCATTCGGGTAGATTTCTTTTTAATTGTATTTTTTAAGCATGTAACTGCTCGATTACTTGTAAGAAATAATATTAATTTGTTTCTTAAAAACAGTGATCTTTACACACTTAATACAAGAAACAAAAATAAACTAACTTTACCTGCTACTAGGCTTCACAAAATCAATAGTTCATTTAAAGGTCTTTGTGTTCGCTTAAGGTGCGGCCAGAGTGCACTCAGATTCAGACTCAGATTCAGATTTCGAAAACAAGCGCGAGAAATAAACAGTGTAGTCGAAGGGTACGGCCAGATTGCACTCCTGATTCAGATTCAGATTCAGACTCAGAAAACAAAGCGCGAGAAAAAGCAGGCAACCTGCTTAGACTACACTGTTTATTTCTCGCGCTTGTTTTCAGAATCTGAATCTGACTCTGAATCTGAGTGCACTCTGGCCGCACCCTTATACAATAAAGTCGCAAGCAATATCCAAGAGTTAAGCATAAATAAATTCGAAGATAGTATAAAAAAAGCACTTATTAAAAAAGCTTATTACAAAGTGTCTGATTATATTACAGACAAAAATGCTTGGGTTTGAATTGTTTCAATAATTCCAACAGGTTTTCTATATTAAATAAATCATGATTGTATTGACGTTGTAACAACATAATGATTTGTAAATGTTGTTACATTATGCTTTTAATGTTGTAGAGTTTTTTTCGCTCGTTTTTCTCCGCAGCTAAAAAATATGTCCAATAACGAGTGGTAGGGAAAAAAAAATGTTTGGACGATTCAAAAGTGTTGTAGGCATCCAATTTGAATAAAGATATATTGATTTCTGATTTCTGATGTTTAAATCTATAAACAGAGACAAAACCGGATGTGGATGTGTTTTTTGTTGAGTTGTTTTCAAAAAACTTTTGCTGAAGGCCAGTGTTAGAAATAGATCCGCTTTAAAAAAAAAATCTTTACAACCAAACGCTGCATGTCGTATGATATCTCTCGACGACAAATCAATGTTTAGAGATGTATATGAATAGGCTATCTTAATGCCGCAATTGCTGCCATCTCTAAATTGTGGCAACCAGGATAAGACACGTGATAACCCCGGATTTTGGAGCCCAGAACCCGGACAGACCAAAAAAAAAACAGTTAAAAATGTCACAAATCAACTTTTTTATGTTGATCTAGGCAAAAGAGCTAGCAGTCTACCACATATTAAGTGGTCACTGCTGCCCATGGACATTTGCAGCACCAAGGGCCACTCATGCGTTGCCGTAATTTTTTAACCCGGACTACAAATAAAACCCCGCCCGGACGCTCCCCGGACGCCACGTAAACTAGGACAAATCCGGGGAAACCCGGACGGATGGCAGCCCTATGCACGACAGACATTACTCGAATTCGGGCACCCGAAGAAATATTTACACTGGATTCGGCCTGCAAGACGGTGTCAGGTAAACAAAAGGAAATATAAAGAAACAGGAAATATAAAACTTTACTAGAAAAAACTCCACGCGGACCAGGCAGCAGACGGGACTCGAACTCGCACCCTTCACTATCCAGGCGAATGCACTGACCATTATGCTACCGCGGCCCTGATAGCCGCGTCGAATTTTAAAACTTCTTTTTCTAGTAAACTTTCCTTCAGTTTTAAACATCTAGCAGTTAAATGCTTAAAAAATAAAAATGTTAACACACCATGCGTTTGACACACTTATTAGGTCCGTATTACAGAATGATAACTAAATGTTAAATAAAACTAGTTTTTACGGGTTAATGCACGAAACTTTATTTATTTATTGACGTTTCGTAGCCTTTTTATAGGCTTCGTCGTCAGAATAAAACTTTTATTTAATTTGTCGAGCTTCCTTAGCTAGCTCTGACGACGAAGCCTGTAAAGGCTACGAAACGTCAATAAATAAATAAAGTTTCGTGCATTAACCCGTAAAAACTAGTTTTATTTAATGAGTGATGTGCGTGAAAACCTAAGATTCAAATAAACTAAGTGTTAGTCTTTACTTGAGAACAGTTAGAAAGGGATGTCGCTATGTGCTATTTATAGCGACATCCAGTGCCGTCTTTGACCTATTGGAGGCCCTGGGCATATTAGGATAATGGGGCCCTTATGACTTCCGTTTAGTGATTTAACAGGAACTAGGGACTTTGTATTTGATCTGAGGGGGCCCCCTATCGGTCGCGGGGTCCTGGGCACTTGCCCAAAGTGCCCACTGGGAAAGACGGGTTTGGATGTCGCTATGTGCTATATATAGCGACATCTCTTTCTGACTATGTTCAAGACTAGATCAATCACTGAGAATATCTTATCTATTAGAGAAGCCCGTCCGTCCCTCTGTCTGTGGCGCTGTTTCAGCGGCCAAACCGTAAGAGATAGATAAAGAGAATATTTAAGTTATAAGTTAAGAATAGTCTGATAAGACTACAAACCGGATTTGAGTAACGTAGCACTTCCGGTTTTCGAGAAATCACGAATTTCAAACAAAAACCACACAAAATCTCCGAAGTTCTTAATTAATTAAATACATTTCTTTTTTATTCGGGATTTGGTGAACATTTGGTTCACTGGTTTGCTAGTCTCTTATCTATTAGAAAAGTCCGTCTGTCTGTGGTGCTGTTTCAGCGGCCAAACCGTAAGAGGTAGATAAAGAGAATGTTTAAGTTATAAGTTAAGAATAGTCTGATAAGACTACAAACCGGATTTGAGTAACGTAGCACTTCTGGTTTTCGAGAAATCAGGTTTTGGTGAACATTTGGTTCACTGGTTTGCTAGTCTTTCTATAATGCGGGCTTTAAACACAAAAACTTTTTAACCTAGAAACTTGATTAATATAGTGTATCACTCTTTTCAGCCCTGGTGTTGCTGTAGTACTAAGCGGAGGCAGGGACCTAGTTGGCTTGTCTTGCTGTGTTCTGTTTGTTGACATATTCTGTGTTGACATATTTAACGATAATCAAAACCAATTCCGACATTAGATGCTGAATTCCATCTCAGCCTCTTTAATATGAATTTTAATTTACTAATGTAACTAAATTTATTAATTCAATTACTATGTTTGAAATCAAAATATAATCTTACTCTAATTTAATTACCTATTTAATTGTTTTCTTTAATGTAGTTAAAAATATTGTCATTTTTAAATTGAACGCTGTGTACTCTCGTAAGTGGCAAGCATATAATAATTGTATTTATGTTATTAATAATTTTGTAATGTATGATATGTACTTATTGCTGTATGTGTTCCTAATCAAATAAATCTATACTTATAATAAATCTGTAGAGAGGTCAATTCTGTACATGAAATATATTTTCAAAATAACTATCAGGGGGTGATTAGTGGTCGATACTGATGCCAAAAATGCAATCAGTAAAATTTTTGTCTGTCTGTCTGTCTGTCTGTGTGTATGTTCCTTATAGAAACAAAAACTACTCGACGGATGTTAACGAAACTTGGTACAATTATTCTTCATACTCCTGGGCAGGTTATAGTATACTTTTCATCACGCTATAATCAATAGCAGCAGAGTAGTGAAGGGAAATGTTGGGAAAACGGGAGAAGTTACTCCATTTTTTAAGCTTCCGTCGCGTGTGCAGCCTTAATAAGTTACATAGAAATCATGTATGACGGAAATATTCTACATAAAATTGTCTAAAAAATATCCGGCAACAGCATATGTCTATCTTTTATGGTTGACTCACAATAACACGTGTAATTATATAAATAAAGTCATTGTTTATAACACAAGCCTGAGAACAAAAACTATAGTTTACACTACAGCTCTACACCGAAGCGAATCGAGGGCGGGCCACTAGTAAATAAATAAAGTAAATTCTGTTTAATGTAAATATGTGTTTAAGGTCAATAAAATTTCTTTCTTTCTTTGTCAAAAGAATATAAGGTCGAAGTTAGGCCAACGAGCGATCAATATAGATTATAAGCAAAACAACATAATTAAAATTGAACATACCACGACCAGTCTGACGCCGGACTTGTATTCTTTGCTACTTCCGCTTCCGGAGACCTCAGGCGAGTCCGCGTCCATCTGCGATATCAATCAACAATTTTGAAGTAAAAACCATTAACTACATTATTATAATTTATTAACAATGTTTATTTGATTCATGCCTAATTCGTATGTGTATCTAGTATTAATAAAAAATAGTTTTTCGGGATTCAGCACTCGAATAACATAACAATCGCAATCGGCTGTATTTACTTCACTTTAGTACCCATTAGCCTCCTTGGTGGGTCATGATCATGACCCATTCTCCCTATTTCATCCTGTGGGAAAAGGCTGTGTCCCAGCAATAGGGACAAATTAAAAGATATCTTGAAAACCTCTTTTTTTATAGTAGGTGCGTCAAATGACTCCACCCCACCTGATGTGAAGTGACGGTGAAATCCAGACGCGAAGATAGCTGGTACGGCAGTTCGACCTGCCACACCAGCCATCCTCATTTTGCCGGCCTGCATGTTGCTTCTTCACGCCTCTTATAAAGGATCCCAGGTTGTAAGAGGGAGGGAACATGTGAGGGAGCGAACATATGAACCTCACCTTGATTAGTAAAACACTCGAAAGCTAAAAGATATATTTTTAAATATATCTTTAGCTGGTGGTTTCACTGTCGGATTTAGGGGAGGGCAACCGGGGCGAAAGCCCAGGGGCCTCCACAAACGGGGGGGGGGGGGGCCCACAATAGAGACTTCGGAAAAGAAAATCTTTCAAATTCCAACTAGTAAACACTAGTAAACATCTTTTCCTTTGATATTTTTTTTGCTCTTTTACCTTTACCTACAGCCAGGGTCGAATTTAAGGCAGGGCAGGTGGGGCTGTGGCCCAGGGGCCTGCACAACAGCTTAAGAAATAACAACATTTCGATGGGTCAACAAGCATACAAATCCTAAGTGGCCCGGGGCCTCCACAATCCTAAATCCGGCTCTGGGTGGTTTAATACAAATTAGGTTCCTCATATACACAATTGTTTATTATTAAATTCTTTTGAAATTTTATCTTTAAGACTGTATATTGCAATACCCTGACAGGGTTCATGTTAGGTACTACAAGCATTTTGTAACCACATGAGTGCAATAAATTGAATTGAATTTAATGTTTAACGTTTTTTCAAAACACAAAAACGGAACCCGTTGTTATTAGTTCGATTCGCCCTTGACTGTTCTTTTTGCTATTATTTCAATACCATCAAACATTGAGGAGGTCGATGGCGCAGGTGGTTAGCGCGTTCGGCTGCGAACGTTGAAGTTAAACAACTTTGCAGTGGTCGGTCATTGGATGGGTGACTAAAAATCTTTTATCTTGAGTTCCTCAGTGCTTTGGAAGGCACGTTAAGTTGTTGGTCCCAGCTGAATCTGCAGTCGTTAGCACCCGCCAATCTGCACTGGGCGCGCGTGGTGGGTCATGGCCTAATCTCCCTATTCTATCCGTAGGGAAGGAACGTGCCCCAGCAGTGGGGACATTAATAGGTTGATGATGATGATAGTGGTATTGTCAGTGAGGTTCCAGGCTCCACGGGGTTTGGGATTTGGCTAAAATAAAATTGGTGGCTACCATTTTCTTAAAAGCAGCAGTTTTTGAAGTGAAACTTCGTTACTCACGCTTGACTTGAGGAGTAAGCTGGCGAACGCGTTACGAAAAGTGTGATCAGGCGAGGCGAACGGGAGTTGAGTGGGGGATATAAGCAGGGGAAAGCAGTGCTGTATCTAAATATATATAATATACAGGTGGAGCTAAAGAAGTTTCACTTCAGTCGTGTGGCCATAAGCACATTCGTTTTTTTTAAACTGAAGAACCTTTTACTTAAGGATATCTCATCAACAGCCTATCCTAGTCCACTGCTGGACATAGGCCTCTCCTATCGCACGCCACACAGATCGATCTTGGGCTACTCGCATCCAGCTCCTGCCAGCCACCTTGCGCAAATCGTCACTCCATCGTGCCTGAGGACGACCTACACTACGTTTGCCAAGACGCGGTCTCCACTCCAGAACTCGTCTACCCCAACGGTTATCGGTTCTTCGGCAAATATGGCCAGCCCACTGCAACTTCAACTTACTAATCTAGTGGGCTATGGCGATTAAGGATAAATAATTGTATTGTATGTAATACATGAAGTGTTAAGCATGTTTGTACTTACAATATAGCGTAAGAACTTAATTAATTGTTTTAATATCTGATTTTCGTTCGGGTTTAAATTCAGGAAAAATTAGATTGGGCGAAAAAAAATATTTTACTAAGAAAAAGTGCAGAGATTGGTTAAAGTGGTGAACTGTTAATTATCAACTAATTAACTTGACGTACAGTCAACGAAATCGATGAAGATTCATGTAAAACGTTCCTTACAAAAAAATGCCTGTTTAAATTATGTTGGTTAAATCTTTATTTTTTCACATATAATATAAATAAATAATGAATATTTCCAACACACACACCAATTAGCCTAGCCCCAAAATAAGCAGGCTTGTGTTATGGGATACTAGGGTAACGGATAGAATACATGTACTGTACATATATAAGTATATTTATTTAGAAATACATATTAAACATCCATGACTGGAGTACAAATGCACGTATTCATCACACAAACTTCTGCCCCCGCCGGCATTCGAACCCGGGACCTCTCGAGTCGGCTACACCATGAAACCCGGCGTACAAACCACTCAGCCACGGAGGTTGTCAAATATATACTACAAATAAAACTAAAAATAATAGGATTAATAATTTTTTTACATTAATCTTGACTTTTCGGTTCTTTTACAGGATTAGATGTTACCAGACCTGGTTTTTAGGGTTCCGTGAACACGAACACGAAACAGACGTGTTTTTTTTTCTTATAACATACTAAGGCTCGTATTACAGAATAAAAACTAAGTGTTGATCTTTACTTGAGTACAGTTAGAGAGGGATGTCGCCAGTGGCGGCGCTAGGCGTCGGCGACGTCGGCCACCGCCGACGGCCTCGCGCCTATCAAAAATTTTTACAAGTTACCTATTTATTTTCGTTTCTCCTGGCCTGGCTTAGATAGCCGACTCCGAACAATTCGGGGAAAAAGCTAAGCAGATGATAATGACTTTTATTATTTTCGAACACGTGCGTGATGGAAGCGAGTAATACTTTACGGGTATTCAGAATCGTCTGTCTGGCAACACTATTTTTGTATTTAAATTTCTATGTTTGTAATTATTTTTTGTCATCATTTGATTATCAACAATAAAACTCGTTTACTATACGTTATTTTATAATTTGGCTCACTTAATTTAACGGTTTTTGTCTGCGAAGTAAAATAGGCCTCGCGAACTTGATGTCGCCGACGTCCACATGTGGTCTAGCGCCGCCACTGGATATCGCTATGTGCTATATATAGCGACATCCCTTTCTATCTATGCTCAAGACTAGATTAATAACTGAGAATCTTTCTATAATACGGGCCTTAGTGTCTAATTTTGTATAGATAATCATACGCATCCCTTTATGCGTGATCTCACTTCTCACTTGGCCTGTAATAACCGTTCAAAAACTTTTGTATCAAATATATACCTTGGAAAAGAATGCAAGACCATTTTTTATCTCAAATACCTCAAGGCACGTAAAAGCGGTTGACCCAGGCTGTATTTACTTCACTTTAGTACCTACCAGCACCGCACTAGACCCCCTTGGTGGGTCATGATCATGACCCATTCTCCTTCCATCCATAGGGAAAAGGCTGTGGCTCAGCAATGGGGACAAAATAAAAGATATCTTGAAAAACAACCTCACCTCTCATCTAAAGTATTAAGTTATGTTTATTAATATTTAGATTGTGACGGACACTTCCAGTTATGTAAGCAATAATAATATATACAGGAACAATGAAACTAAAAACCTCAAAAAATATAATGTAACTATAACTAAAACTAAAAAAATAAATAAAAAAAACCTCACCTTGATTAGTAAACTACTCGAAAACTCGCACAACCAAAGCGGATTTTTATTATTCAAACAGGTTTTTGGAGCGCAATTCACGCGAGATATGCGAACCCACCGTATTGACTAAACTGCAGATCGATTCGTGCGGTCGATACTGCCGGGCCAAATCCATCATTCTAGTGATGTACTTTTATATAAACAATCGATATTTTTTTGACAACGCACCAATTAGCCTAGCCCCAATCTTCGTCTGTTCGTCTTTTGTCAGCGGGATGTACCTACATGATCTCATGAACAGATTAACAGTAACTGGTGGACAGTGTTTTTTTTAATTTTCTTCTTCTTGTTGAAGGTTCTTACGGAAAAGAATTGCACAAAACCAAATAAACACAGTCGCCGGCGGAAGCTAATTAAATAATTAATAAATATGTCCAACACTCATACCAATTAGCCTAGCCTCAAAGTAAGCACTGTAAGGCTTGTGTTATGGGATACTAGGGTAACGGATAGAATACATATATATTTATATAGAAATACATATTAAACATCCATGACTGGAGTACAAATGCTCGTATTCATCAAACAAACATCTGCCCCCACCGGGATTCGAACCCGGGACCTCTCGAGTTGGCACCATGAAACCCGGCGTACAAACCAATCGGATACAGATGTCGTCAAATTCACATCGGTATCGATTCTGGCATGATTATCTGAACCTAAAATTTAAATTGACAACAGTGCATCCTTGTCATTCTCTACACAGAATGAAAAGGAGAGACTGATGTTAAATTTTCCTTTAATATAAATAAGGTCGACGCTGTAGCAGTGTTAGTTGCAGGTAGGGATACCATCCGTCCGGATTTGTCCGGACATGTCCGTACTTTGTCCGGCTTTTTAATTTGTCCGGTTTTTTTTCATTAGATGGAATATGAGTAAACCTACTTATAAAGTTATATCAAATAAGTCAAATAATCTTGATAAAGTTTTCATTAATTTAAAACAAAATATCTTCTTAGTCGCTATCTTCATTGCTGAAGGTCGTGTCTAACTCGAAATGTTGACCACCTGATGTACTATGCCTCTCCACGCATTCCTGTTCTCGGCAGTCTTTATAGCCTTGGTTATTGATAGACCAGCGACTTTACTAGGTCTGACCAGCGGGTAAAACAAAATATAAATCATCTTTAAAAATCAATAACGAGACCCAATGGCGGATTTACAAATTTGCCGCTAATAGGCTATTAAATTTTTGCCTCCCTTATTGACCTTTGAAATTCAATACGCTAGTTCACAATTACATTTATTCTTAAATTGCAACTTTATGATTTGTGTTCTATCGTCCACATTACGTCGGCTTTTCCCCGTTAGTTTAAAAAATTACTAAATTTAAATTGTAATTAATATTGAAACGCTAATGGAATATTTTAAAAATTCATGATCGCATAAGTACATACCTATATTTTACAGTGCGTTGAGTAATCTTTTATATACGGATTACGGACGTAAGAGTGTTGATTATACTGTGCATTACTAAAATATTAAAATTTTTGTCACTCGTTTTTCTGTTTAGATTTTGGGCTAAATTTGCCGCCCCCTTAAATCTGCCGCCCTAGGCTCCAGCCTACTGAGCCTACTGCTAAATCCTAACCTAACCTAACCTAACCTAACGAATAATGAAGTACGTATTTTTAATACTGAAACACAAAAAAATAAAAAGGTGCACCACCGTTATCACTTATAGAGGTATAAAATAAAATTTTACGTCCTATTCTCAGACCTACTCAACAACACAAAATTTCATAAGAGTCGGTCAAGGTCAAAGTCGTTTCGAAGGAGTTTTGTTAGAAACACTGATTGAAATTACAAGGTATTTTGAGTAAGTTTTTAACGAAACCTATTTTAACAATATTAAAGTTAATACTTGATATATTATTTAATAGAAGACTCGTCTGCGTATAGAATATATTCTAAATGCCGCTATGTTTGAACTGAATAAAATAAATAATTATTAATAAATAAAGGTGAAAAGGGAATTCCGTTTAACCATAAAAATCACAAAAAAAACAAGCTTTTCATATGTTACTCTTATTTTTCCGCAAAAAATCACTTTTTATAACATTAATAAACGTTATTATTACAAGGAAAATAGCATTTTTCTTCGTCAAACTATCGATAGTCGATAAAGAGCCGTGTCCCAACGCTACACCACACCGGTTTACCTCACGCTATAAGCCAGGGCCGCAATGACCTAGAGACATAAAGACTCCTTTGACACTGTCACGTTGCATAATCTTATACACAACTCATTGCGTGGGTAATGCAAATACAAGCTTTTGATATAGTGATACTAGCCGTGCCCCGCGGTTTCACCCGCGTTTACAATCATCAACAAATATATTTTGAAAAAGATTGTTACAGGATTTTATGTTGATAAAAAACTCTATGGCCCATAACTCATTAATAGGTACCAACTCTTAACATCTTACACACGTGATAACTTTTAAACGAAATATCCGATTGAGATGAAACAAAAGTATTTTACTTCTACATAAATACTCTTGATAACATAATGCTTAATTTCGATAAAGATTAATATTAAGATACATGTTTAACGTAGTTTTTTTTTCTTCAGACGATTTAATAATTATTTTGAACACAAAATCGGTTATTGTGATTAAACCATGATAGCTAGATATATATTTTTGCAGACTTTTTTGTAGGTCTTAATGGGATCTACGAACCCGTAGTACATCATTTTGTTCTATTGTCAATAGTTTTTGCAGCGCACGCAAAAATAGGTTTTCGATTTTACACCTTGTGTTATAAAATAGCAATTTTATTACGGATCACTAATTTTGTAAAAAATAATAATATAGCCTATAGCCTTCCTCGATAAATGGAATACCCAACACTGAAAGAATCATTCAAATCGGACCAGTAGTTTCAGAGATTAGCGCGTTCAAACAAACAAATAAACTCTGCAGCTTTATAATATTAGTATAGATAAGAGGTACGTTTTATTTTTAATTTTTATTAACGATGAGAAATCCCTTGACCGACCGTACCGTGCGCTGGCGAGGCGCACAGCATGTGTGGGACCCACTAAAACTCACCGGTACCCTCCTACGCCCATGTGGGAGCGTGCGGTCCTGCGTGGAATATTGCTCGCACCTCTGGGATGGCTCCGCTAAGTACTTACTCGATGCCTTGGATAGGTTGCAGCGGCGCGCTGCCCGCATCATTGGCGATGAAGAGGTAACTAAGAAACTCGAGTCTCTACAATTACGCCGTGATGTGGCATCATTAAGCGCATTCTACCGACTATACCACGGCGAGTGTTCTGAGGAGCTATTCTCGCTTATCCCTCCATCACCTTTTCTTCAGAGGACCACGCGCGCTGGCCTACGTTGCCACCGACTTACTGTGGCCACTATTCCTACACGAACAAAGAAATTTGGCGACTCATTTCTTTGTCGTACTATTCGTAAGTGGACTTCTATGCCCGCGCACGTGTTCCCTCCTTCCTATAATCTGGGGTCCTTTAAGAGAGGCGTGAAGAAGCATTTTTGCGGGCCGGCAAGGTGAGGATGGTTGGTGTAAAAGTTTATAACTGCTGTACCAGCTATCTTCGCGTTTGGACTTTATCACCACTTAACATCAGGTGGGGTAGAATCATATAAAAAACAAAAAAAAATGTGGGAGCTTCTCGGGATCGGCGCACCTCTGTGTGCGCCATTTCACCGGGACGCCCCCGAGCCGGCAGACACGCCTCTGGGTGATTGCGCTAGAGTACTAGGCAATCCCCAGACGGGGTGGACTATGCCGATTGGCACCTAGGGCACAGCGGTGACACTCTCTGTACGTGAGAGTTCCAGCGTCAGTGACCTTGAGCAGGAGCGTGTATGCGCTAGGGTTGAAGTTGGAATTTAGACTTGTGCCAATGAATAGTTATCCATAGTAAGTTATTAAAAGTAAACTGATTCAAGGATACTGGGGTAAATAATGAAGGATAGGTTTGATTTTATAATCAATTTTTAATCTTTTAATGTAGATACTATAACAAATTGCTAACTTTTATATATTTTCCCCTTTTTCGATTCGTTTTATAATTCTTATTATTATCTAAATAATAATAAGATTGCGTAGCGTAGTCTGCCTGTGCGTGCAATGCAGTGCAACGCTATTATTTTACTATACTGCCATACCTTCGGTCGAGGCAGTCGGCGACTGCCCTCTCCTCGTCTCGCGCGCCGCGCAACGCCCCCGCGTACCTCCAGACACCCACACATAGCCGCGAGCGATGCACACATGCTTAAGTGTCGCTTCTTTTCGCGTAGTGTATATATTCTGTGCCTAGGGCACGCGGCCAAGCCGCGCCTAGACCACCTTAGGGTCGATGAAGACCGGCAGTCACGGCCTGCCTGCCTTCTTCGGCCCACCCGTCTACGTCGGAGGGGAGCGGCTAGAGCGTCCTCCTCCCGCTCCCTCTCCGCGGCCTCCAATCAATCAATCAAAATCATTTATTCAGTTTAGGCTGTTACAAGCACATATGAATGTCTAGAAGCTACGCCATCGGTTCGTAAATCTACGGCGGGAGACCTTGTACTGAGAAGAACCGGCAAGAAACTCAGCAAGGGCTGTTTTTTTCTCCCTGTTTTATCATTTACAGAGTCGTCAAGTTGAAAAATGACTTCAGAGATGATTCATGAAGTCACCCTTCATTACATGATGTGAAATTATACATTAATTGTTCACCTGCATTTTGATTGCTGTGTCACACAGTATAAATATAAATCCTCCTTCTGCGTCATCACCGATTCGCAGGAGGTGGCAGCCTTCCAAGCCCTCTCGCTACCAAGCATGGCTCTAACCATGCTTGGCAACGAGATAAGAGAGGTTTCTAGGTCATAGGGGGATTTTCCGCTCGCATTGAAGCACCCGTCTGGGGAAGTAACATACGCATTACAGAAGAACAAGTTAAAATAATAATACCTTTTGCTGGTGTTGTGGTTCTGTTTGTGGGTAAGGTTCCAAGGCGGCGGGAGTAATATTTTAGGTACCACAAGCGTCTATACCAAATGGTTCCCTACCAGTGGTCCGCAGAAGCCAAAATATGGTCCGAGAATGAATTAGATTTTAGCGGGCGCGCGCCTAAAATGTTTTAAAATGTTCATCATCAGCCTATTAATATCCCCACTGCTGGGGCACAGGCCTTCCCTATGGATGGAATAGAGAGATTGGGCCATGACCCACCACGCGGGTCCAGTGCGGGTTGGTGGGTGCTAACGACTGCAGATGCAGCCGGGACCAACGGCTTAATGTGCCTTCCGAAGCACGGAGGAGCTCGAGATAGTAAATTTTCGGTCACCCCTCCAATAACCGACTACTGCGAAAGTTGCTTAAATTCAACGATCGCAGCGGAACGCGCTAAACACTTGCGTCATCGAGCTCCTCTACTCTAAAATGTCATTATTTCTTTTTATTTAACTTTTCATATTAGATTTTTAAATAAAGTTTCAGTTTGATTATTACAGTTTATTTTTATTACACTAAAATTTAGTTATTTCGTGACTAAATAGTGGTCCGTGTTAAAAAAATAATAATGTAAAAGTGGTCCCTGGACTATAAAACATTGGTAACCCCTGGTCTATACCTATGGTGGCAGCTTACCATTAGGAGGGTAATATGTATGTTATACTTGTTTGCCAACCTTTAAACTTAAAAAAAAATCGGCCAAGTGCGGGTCGGACTCGCGCACCGACGGTTCCGTACAAACTCAATTTAATACCTCTACGCGGTCATGGGAAAAGAGGTAGTAACTTTAAAATTTTCAAAAATATTTTTTTTTATTGAAGTTGAGAAAGAAAAAATGATGAGAGTGAAATTTTAAGATGCGCGCGCATCACTGTAACACAAAAAATTATGCTGTTACTTTTGTGTTTACCGCACCTTAAGAAAATCTACCAACAAAATAGAAATAGAATCTCTATTTTGTGGGTGCTAACGACTGCATTGTGAAGGCCTATCAAAAGTATTTATCAATCTGGAACAACGGAACCAAAGCGCGATTCAGGAGACTACAGCGCCATCTCTTGACCATTGGTGTAGTAGAACCAAAAACCACATCTTTATTTTTTGTCATAAAGTAACAAAAAGTATTTATTAATCTGGAACAACGGAACCAAAGCGCGATTCAGGAGACTACAGCGCCATCTCTTGACCATTGGTGTAGTAGAACCAAAAACCACATCTTTATTTTTTGTAATAAAGTAACAGTTATAGGTATTCATATTTATAATATTTATCCACATGTTTCTAGTTTGTATATTCGGAATACGTGTTTGAGTTTCATACAAGTGCAAATAGAGTTTCATACAAGTTTTCAAATTAAAACTGAACTTTATTGACTGTGTCCTTTTCCAGACTTTTTATTAATTTATTGCAATTAATTATTTGCATGCAATTAAAAACTAATTTTAAACGATGCCAAAGAAGGATAACTTCTCACGCACCTACATAAGTACACGCACCCATTTTTTATAATGATGGAACTAATAATTTACGGATTTCGCAATTTTTCCTTTATCTGTACTATAAGACGTTACTTCGTACCAAATTTCAAGATTCGTAGTTCACGGGAAGTACCCTGTAGGTTTTGATTCCCGTGCGAGTTTCGAAAATTTGCGGAAATTTGCGGCATAAACGGCTGTATCTTTTGATTGCTTTGGCTTAGAAGTTTGATTTTTTCACAGCTCCAAGGGACAGTAGAGCTGAGTATTAGATATGAATTTCAGTTTGATACCTCCACGCGTTCCTGAGAAAAACAGTCTTGACAGACGGATGGACGGACGGACAGCAAAGTGAACTTATAAGGTTTCCGTTTTTTTCTTTTGAGGTACGGAACCCTAAAAAAGATTCTTATTTGGGAAAGAGTTCGATAGCGCAGGTGGTTAGCGGTGGTTATTACTTCTGTATGAAAGTTGCCGAGTTAAAAGATAAACGTTAAACCAACTTGTTTTAAATCAAGAACCGTGAAAATATCACTAATAAGCTTCAGAGCTTAAGCAATTTTAAAGTGAAAACAGCTTCATGTCGATATCTTTTTTTTTTCAATTTATTTATTAATTAATTTGCATACAATAAAAACATCATTACAGCACAAAAACCTTAACGATTTATCTGTGCTGCAGAGTCGCTCCACAGCCAGTCACGCCAAACAGCCTGTCTGCTTTTCTAAATAATCTCTTATCTATTAGACAAGTCCGTCCGTCTGTCTGTGGTGCTGTTTCAGCGGCCAAACCGTAAGAGATAGATAAAGAGAATATTTAAGTTATAAGTTAAGAATAGTCTAATAAGACTACAAACCGGATTTGAGTAACGTAGCACTTCCGGTTTTCGAGAAATCACGTGATTTCTATATCTTGGAAACGATAAGAGATAGATAATACATACATTTTTTAAATCAGGTTTTGGTGAACATTTGGTTCACTGGTTTGCTAGTCTCTTATCTATTAGACAAGTCCGTCTGTATGTGGTGCTGTTTCAGCGGCCAAACCGTAAGAGATAGATAAAGAGAATGTTTAAGTTATAAGTTAAGAATAGTCTGATAAGACTACAAACCGGATTTGAGTAACGTAGCACTTCCGGTTTTCGAGAAATCAGGTTTTGGTGAACATTTGGTTCACTGGTTTGCTATACTTTTTTAACATTTTAACAAAGGGTCTAGAAGATTTTATTTTATTTTGAATAGCCCCTGGTAGTTTATTGGTGAATAAGGGTAACAAATATTTAGAAGTTCTGGTACCATAAATATTGTTGTACTTTGTACTTTTTCGTATAGTATTTTAATATTTCTAGAAATTATATAATCTAAAGAAAAGTTTACTAGAAAAAAATCCACGCGGACCAGGCAGCGGACGGGACTCGAACCCGCATCCTTCGCTATCCGGGCGAATGCACTGACCATTATGCTACCACGGCCCTATTAGCCACGTCGAAATTTTCCTAGCCTTAAGCTGCAAGGCAGCGCCATCTCTTCGCATTGTAGGCAACCCACTTTCAATTCGACGCGGCTAATAGGGCCGTGGTAGCATAATGGTCAGTGCATTCGCCCGGATTGCGAAGGGTGCGGGTTCGAGTCCCGTCCGCTGCCTGGTCCGCGTGCATTTTTTTCTAGTAAACTTTTCTTTAGATTTAAACATCTAGCAGTTAAATGCTTAAAAATAAATAAATTCATAAATTATATAATGCCCTGATTAGAGTGCATGCATATGTCAATGCTTAAGATATATTGTCTCTGGAACATTCTGAGTTAAAGATACTCAAAGATAACCTTTTCACGGGTGTACTTGCCTTAACTGAATATCATTCTATTATAAATTTCTGAGGAGGAGAAATGAGAAGCTCGATGGCGCAGGTGGTTAGCGCGTTCGGCTGCGATCGTTGAAGTTAAGCAACTTTCGCAGTGGTCGGTCATTGGATGGGTGACCAAAAATCTTCTATCTCGAATTCCTCCGTGCTTCGGAAGGCACGTTAAGCCGTTGTTCCCGGCTGCATCTGCAGTCGTTAGCACCCGTCAATCCGCACTGGGACCGCTTGGTGGATCATGGCCTAATCTCCCTATTCCATCCATAGGGAAGGCCTGTGCTCCAGTAGTGGTGACATTAATAGGCTGATGATGATGATGGTGATAAATTTCTGGTAGCTAGCCCATATCGCAAGCCTTACAGTGCAGTAAAACGTCACCTGTAAGAAGTTGTCAATTTAATCTATTCTTTAATTTAGAAAAATAAACATATTGCAAAGGCTGCATTGATCTTAATAAATTTTTAATAAATAACTCTGTCTTCGCGTTTTTACGAACTCTTTATGGTTCTTTTATCTATATGACCTATGCTATGACCTTCGAGCTCCTACAATATTTAGACTTAATTTAAATTTATTGTCTCTAGTGGACATCGCCACGTCTAAATTTAAAAATGGTACCTAGCTATACTTAACTTTTGTTAATTAATAATAATAATGTGATTGAAGTTGACATCAACACATGCTTTCAATTTTTGATGTAATCTTTCTGTATGAAACAAAACAGGGAGAAAAAAATAGTCTTGCTGAATTTCTTGCCGACTCTTCTCAGTACAAGGTCTCCCGCCGTAGATTTACGAACCGATGGCGTAGCGTTTGACTTTCACAAGAGCTTGTAACAGCCTAGACTGAATAAATGACTTTGAGAATTTAATTGATTACTGCTTTAAACTACAACATCTATTGTTTATATACTTTTTATTGCCAAATATATACTTCGTACAAATTTTAGGTACCACCAAGGAGATTACGAAATAGTATTTAATCTCTTTTCTTCATATTCGTTTTACAAAAGAGTATGTTATCACTGCGTTTCGTACTCTTTGTTTTCGAATTTGCCAAAAATGACGGAGACAATAAATTATTTTTTGTTTTGTCTCATAATATGGATGGTGAAGCGCGTGTGCTATAAAAAAATGTCCCGAAATCTTTTCGCGTGCCGTGGATGCCTCGCTACAGACACGAAGTTGTACGATTTGTACGAAAAGCAACTGCTGGATGTGTTCAGAGATGTCGTTGGTAGCCCGGTAAATGTTTTTTTACTTGCATCGTAAATTCATAGGCAAAGAAAATAATTGTAGCTATTTACATCATCATCATCATCAGCCTCTTAATGTCCCCACTGCTGGGGCACAGGCCTTCCCTATGGATGGAATAGGGAGATTGGGCCATGACCCACCACGCGGGCCCAGTGCGGATTACGGGTGCTAACGACTGCAGATGCAACCGGGACCAACGGCTTAACGTGCCTGCCGAAGCACGGAAGAACTCGAGATAGAAATTGGTGGTCACCCATCCAATGACCGACCACTGCGAAAGTTGCTTAACTACAACGATCGCAGCCGAACGCGCTAACCACCTGCGCCATCGAGCTCCTCATTAGCATGAGCTATTTACATATTAAAATGTATTTTGTCTTTAGGGCTGCGTATCTCGAAAGGAAAACGGGACCCTTATGAGATCACTTCGTTGTACTTCTGTCTGTTTGGCACGACACGACCCTTTATCTCGGGAACGCGTGGAGGCATCAAGTTAAAATAAATTAAAACTATCGACCTCGGCTCTAGTTAGCCGTTGCCGTGGGGGGTCGGGGGCGGGGAAAAACGGTATAGCGTGTCGTTTGTAGACCGGTGGGCCAATCGCCTAACCAGATTGCTTTGGAAAACGCTATCGCTTACGATTTCATTTTGTTATTTCTAACCGCCGAAGGTTTTCAAATACCTCACGCTCATTTTCTTTAACATTGTTATTACCAACTAGCGGCCCGCCCTCGCTTCGCTTCGGTGTAGAGCTGAAGTGTAGACTACAGTTTTTGTTCTCAGGCTTGTATTATACACAATGACATTCATCTATGATTCTTCTTATACCTGCATGCAAAGTCTCAGCCCGATCGGTTTAAAATTGATAAAGTTTCATACAAACTTTCATTCCTTATTTTATCCCCTTGGGATTTTCTTTATATTTTTTTCCGTAAGAACCTTGTACAGAGTATTAGAAAACTACAAAAAAAACAGCCAAATCGGTCAAGCCGTTTTCATGTTATGTCGTGACAACGGAAAACGGGTTTCATTTTTATATATATAGTGTAGCAATTAAATTTAATAACGTTAAAAACTTAGCAATATAATTCTTAAATATTAAGTCGTAGAAATATTATTATTTATTCAGCGCCATCTATCATCATGCATATAAATTATTCAATATCGAAATCCACTTTGAAAAGCAATGGACAAGTACAATATATGTGTGAACCTAGTAGTTGCATTTGGAATGTAAGTTAGAGGGAGCTAGTGTGCAATTTCTTTTGAATGAGATGCGGAAATGGATGTGACGTCACATTAATGTTCTGGAAACATTGAAAGGCGGAGTCAGCAAAACCGGTCCGTGTGCTTCCTCATACCAAATATGGTGATATGAGAGAAATTTGCAATGACGCTGTCACGTGTTGTAGTAGCCTATAAATAGCAGTGCACAAACAGATTCGCTCTCTTTTGGCTGATAGAACCTTGAAGACCATACTTAGAAAATAGCATTAAGACTAGCAGTGGTAGTCAGTGCATTATATACTTAATATTTCTCCCCGGATTAACGGGTAAGTTCAATACATTTGATTCGTTAGGCTGTAGGTCCAGTTAGTTTTTTTATTGAATTATAGAAAAATATGTAATTGGTTCTAGGTCCATTAATTTGGCTAATAAATAACAGTAATAGTCACATTTACTTGATCCTGATTGGAATCTCCTTGGAAATATATATATATATGAGCCTGTGAAGCTTTCTTGAGCAAAAAAGTGACGTGTTCACGTGATGACAGCAAGTCCTGCTTCATCCCTGAGGACATTTGAGTGATCCTGATGCTCCCATGATCTTGCCAAGCTAAGTAAAACTTATAACTTCTTGATATTTAACCAGTGCATACTCCGGAGAACAATTTCTGTTTAACGTGATAAAGGATTTCTATTGGTAAACTGTAAAGCCATTATAAGTACATAACAAATTTTTATTGTTAAATTTACAAAATTTAATATTTTATAACTTGTTTAATAATTTGTTTATATAAGAAACTTAAATTGAGTATTACTGTATTAGCACATGATCTTGAATGTTTGAATAGCTTTAAATCAAAAGAAAAATCTTTGAAGAAATATAACTATGTATTTTTAACTTGAATGTGACTAGTATTAAGTTTTAACCATGATGAAATAAGATCTGAATCTTTTTAACAATATAATATCTTGTTCACTGCTGTTTTAGACATTTTCATTTATCTCCCTCAAATCACAGTATCACGGCGCCCTGATTTTAAATTAAATAAGTTTCGAGTCTCATGTACGCCCTGAAATAGTCGGTGGTAACTAAAATTGTTACAAAATGGCGCCCAACGTGGGGCCGAGTAATAAAATACTGTATTTGAGGGAAATACTGGTGTGCTGATATGATGATAAAAAGGTTGGCGGAAAAATAAATGCTTAAATCCCCAATCAGTCTGAACGGCACACTAGAATTTAACATCTAATCAAAAAAAATTTTAACTTAAAAATCATTAATATTCAGAATTTGTACTAATGTGTTAATATGATGATAAAAAGATTGGTGGAAAAATTTAATGCTTAAAATCCCCAATCAGTCTGAATAGCACATTAGAAGTAAATTACTTAATAACTTAAAAAACTTTAATAAACAATACTTTTGGAATACTAGTGTGTCTAAATGATGATAAAAAAGGTAGGTGGAAACATAGATGCTTAAATCCCCAACCAGTCTGAAAAACACACTAGCATTAATTAACTTAGCACATTAGAATTAATCAACTTATACTACAATAACACTTTCGTATTGATTGGATGCGTAAAAAATTGACCTTGAACAGTGAACAAGATAGTCTTTAAGAATTGAAACTTGTAATAATAAAAGTACCCTCCTTCAAAAAAAAAAAATTTTTTAAATTCCTTTGTATTTAACTTCCTTAGATTAAATAACTTGAATAAGTAGCTTGATTTAAAAACTTGATTAAACGTAATTTAATAATTAACTTAATAATTAACTTAGTAACAGAAATAACTGACTTTAACTTAAAAAAAAAAAAATCTGAGAAAATGCTCTCTATACAAAAATATGTAAACTACCTAAGAAAGGATGAAATCATATATGAATTGGATATTCTTGGCATTTCCACAGCTCCTGACACATCGGTGGATGCACTGAGAAAGCAGCTTCGCCAAATTTTTAAGTTGAAGAGACGTGGCAGCATCAAGTGTGCTCCAGTGATCACACCACTCCCGGCAAGCGAGCTCAAGGCATGTACGCCGAAAATTGCTGAGCTCGAGGATCTGCTGTCATCAGGTGACCTAGGAAAGGACAGTAATCTTCACTTACGTGTGTCAGTTAGGGCTAATTATCTAATCGATAGACTTGCTCGATTGGAGGTTGACAATGCTTCTCTTGTGGATTTGCGCCACAGGCTCATACGTATCTTAGCTCAAGTAGAACAGGAAGATGAAAGTAGTTCAGACGAATTAAGTGACAAGGAAGGTACTCCCAAGTGTAGTAAAACCGGCATGAAGGATGTGAGAGAACAAGAGACGGATGAATATGTGTTGCCCATCTCGAAAACAAGGATGAATGAAAAGAATGGAAGTGAGGAATTAATTGTCATTAAAGAAAAACCAATTAACTTAAATTCACTCAATTTAAAATACAATGGTTCGAGTTGCGTTAGAAGTTTTATTGAGAGGTTAGAGGAACTTAGACAGGCCCGCGAGATTCCGCAATCTCGTATGCTGACAGCATTTTCCGATCTCTTAGAAGATTCTGCATTGGCGTGGTTTAGAAGTAACAAAGCAAACTTTAACTCATATTCTGATCTATTGTTACACTTAAGAGAAGATTTTGATATTCCGGATTTAGATTATCGACTTAAAAACGAAATTAGACAACGCACACAAGCTAGACAAGAGTCAATTGTGAGCTATATCTCCACGATGCAAGGAATGTTTGCGAGATTGTCTATTCCCATGTCATTAGAAGAACAGCTAGAAATTTTAATGCATAATATTCGTCCGGAATATATGAAAGAGTTGGCTCTTCATAACGTTGATTCTATTCTCAAGTTAAAACAATTAGGAAAGCGCTTGGAATTGGCTCAAGTCCGTGCAGAGAAATTTACGGAACCCAATTTGAATAAATTATTTATTTCAAATGACCTTCAGTCACGAAGAATAAAAAATAATTTCAAACCAACCCGTCAGATCTCAACCGTAACTTTACCTCAAAATGTCTCAAATGATAGGAGGTGTATGAGATGTCAGAGTCGAGAGCATTTCACTAGAGAGTGTGTAAATTCGAGAGAAATTCTTTGTTTTAAGTGTGGTAAAAAGGGCGTAAGACGACCTGAGTGCCCACAATGTAATCCAAGTAATAATTCAAAAAACTAAAAAGTGGGAACTTCACATATAATTACGGTAAAAAAAGGTCACACATTAACTTAAATAACCGTGAAGTTCTCTTCCATAAGAAAAAGTTTGACAATAGACCTTATTTGCAATTTAAAATATTAAATGTAGATGCGTTAGGACTTGCTGACTCTGGAGCGTCATGCTCGATACTCGGCAAAAACTCGCACCTCATCTTTCTGAATTTAGGCTTTAAACTTAACACTTTAGATAAAGAGCGTATTGTAAAAACCGCTAATAGCACTGAATTGCATTGCGTAGGGTACATGTCTCTGCCCATTGAATATAACTCAATACTTAAGGTAATTACATTTTATGTTGTTCCAGAAATTACTACACCAATCATATTAGGTATTGATTTTTGGCACCATTTTGGTTTGACAAAAAAACTTGATGTCATCCAACTTTAGTAATATCACTTTAAACTCAGAAAATCCTATTAACTCAATATCATTAAAAAACGGGTTAGAAGATTACAATAACTTAACGACGGCGCAAAAGCGAATAATTAATAAAATAATTGATAAATTTGACTTAATTAACACAGAAAAGGTTGGTCTTGGTAGAACTTCATTGGAACACCATAAAATAGATACTGGTAACCATAGTCCGATTAAACAGCGTTATTATCCCTTATCACCTATCAAGCAACTAGCACTCGAGAAGGAATTAGATAAAATGTTAGCCCTGGGGGTAGTTTCTCCTTCCCAATCGGCTTGGAATTCTCCAGTAGTAATGGTAGAAAAACCCAATGGTGAAACCAGATTATGCCTAGACTCTCGAAAACTTAATTACGTCACAAAACCAGACGCTTATCCCTTGCCTTATATTAACCAAATATTAGATCATCTTAACAACGCTAAATATTTAACCTCAATTGACCTTAGTGCCGCATATTGGCAGATTCCTTATGACTCTGCAGCATCTGCTGAAAAGACAGCTTTCACAGTTCCTCGTAGAGGCTTATTTCAATTTAATGTGATGTGTTTTGGGTTAGTAGGGGCGTCAGCAACCATGCAACGCTTAATGGATAAATTATTTGGCCCAGAATTCGATAATAAGGTATTTGCTTTTCAAGATGATATAATTTGCATTAGTAACACTTTCTCAGAACATATTGAGCTCCTAGAGAAAATATATCAGCGCCTGAAAGAAGCAGGCCTGACAATAAATAAAAAAAAATCACAGTTTTGTCGCAAAGAGCTCAAATATTTAGGGTATTACATTGATAAACATGGTTTAAGAACGGACCCTGGTAAAGTAGATATAATCCTTAACTATCCTACACCCTCGAACCCCAAGGAGGTAAAAAGATTCCTTGGAATGGCAGGTTGGTACAGAAGATTTGTGAATAATTTCTCTGAAATCAGCAAACCGTTATGTAAACTCACCCGTAAGAATGTGGATTTTGAATGGAACTCTGAGGCACAGAAATCCTTTAATTTGCTTAAAACTGCCCTTGTTTCTGCCCCTATTTTAAAAATGCCAGATTATTCGCGCCCTTTCCGTATTTTGACTGACGCATCTGCATACTCAGCGGCGGCCGTTCTCACCCAGTCTTATGACGGAGTGGAACACCCTATTGCCTACTGTAGCCGCTCACTTAATAAAAATGAAGTTAATTATAGTACAACAGAAAGAGAATTATTAGCTGTTATTTATGCATTAGAACAATTTAGACAATATGTTGAAGGTCAGGAATGTACCATAGTCACAGACCATGCTTCACTGTTGTGGTTTTATAAATTAAAAAACCCCACAGGTCGTTTAGCACGATGGAGCATGCGTCTTAGTCAATTTAACTTTAAAATAGAACACCGGAAGGGTCGGGATCATATCCTCCCGGATACTTTGTCACGTATAAAATTAGATTCAATAGAAATAGATTTATCAAAAGATAGTTGGTACTCTTATATGTTAAATGCAGTAAAGAATAACCCACGTAAATTTCCTAACTTCATGGAAAAAGATGGAAACTTATATAGATATTCGAAAAATAAATATGATCTTACTAGCGAATTTGATTGGAAACTGGTAGTTCCTGAAGAAAATAGATCGGCAATTCTTAGGAAATATCACGATGACCCTACTAGTGCACATTTAGGTGTCATGAAGACACATAGGAGGATCGCCTTACATTATTACTGGCCCCACCTATACGAATGTGTGAAAAAGTATGTGAGTGAATGTGAGACGTGTAAGCAATACAAACCTGTGAACACAGCACGTCCCGGTCTTATGGGAAGTCCTAAGAAAGTGACCAAGCCATTTGAAGCCATTAGTTGTGATCTATTGGGACCCTTTCCAAATTCAAGGAATAGAAATACTTATTTAATAGTTGTTTCAGATTACTTTAGTAAATATGTCATGTTGCACCCTATACGGTCAGCAACAGGCATGGCTGTAGCAAACTTTATAGAAAAATATGTATTTTTAGTCCATGGCGTTTGTAAAACCATCTTTATAGATAACGGTCCACAATATGTTAGCTCCCATTTTAGACAGCTGTTAACTAAATATAATGTACCAAACATATATTACAATCCTAAGTATCATCCCCAAACGAACCAAGCTGAGCGGGCAAATAGAAACATAGTTCATGCGATAGCCTGTTATGTAAAATCCGAACATAGAAGGTGGGATGAACACTTAATAGAATTGCAATGTGCTTTAAACACGGCTGTGAATGAAGCAACTAAATTTTCACCCTATTTCCTAGTCCATGGTAGAGAGTATATAATAGATGGTAATTTATATTTAAATTCCTTCCCTCCATGTCCGTTAGATCAAATTACCTCAGACAGTACATTGGAGTATGGGAAAAAGTTGCTTGAACTTAATAATATCTTCCAAAAGGTGAGGAAATATTTGATTGTTGCCCACCAACGGAACGAAAAACAATATAACCTCAGAAAAAGACACATTGAATTAAGAGTTGGCCAGATAGTGTATAAACGTACTCATTATTTATCCAATAAGGCAAAGAATTTTTCTTCCAAATTAGCACCAAAATTTATTAAATGTGTAGTGACGGCTAAATTATCACCTTTAGTTTATACTTTAACCGAGTTAAATGGTAAATATTTAGGTAATTATCATATTAAAGACATACTAAAATATTCTGAACAACAGAACTAACAAATCTTTGAATTCCACATAGGATGCTTATTTTAGTCACTTTCAGTATTAAACGATTGGTTAAGAAGAGTTATGGTATAGGAAGAGTGCATATGGAAATCTGTGGGCTACGGTTCGAAACCTGCCTGAAAATTAAATTGTTTTTCTCTTTTAACTAAATAAATATTTATTTACAACTTTTTTTAACCTATATGGTCACTTTTAAAAAAAAAAAAATATGCTTAAATGAAATTTCGAGGAATTTTAATATTTTAACACAAAAAAAATTTTTTTGATAAAATTATTTTCGTCAAGTTGTGTTTACTGATATGCATATGAGTATGAGAGTAGTATGAAATGCGTGATGTATGAAAAGTTTTTTTTTCCAAAATAAGCACGTGCAATTTATTTTAATACTTAATAGAAAAATAGATCTTGATGTAAGAAAGGCATAAGCATAAGGAAGTAGACATATACTTTAGACTTGATAATTAAAGATAGGAAGATTGTTGGAAAATAATCTTAATCTTTTGAGTTAGAAAACATACAAACTTCTTTAATCTTGAGTTGTTTTCTTAACTACCTTAAGTTCTTAAGATGAAAAAAAAGCCATGTTATACCACTGGATATTAGATCCAAGAAAGGTATTTACATGAAACTCAAAGAAAAATCATTAAACAGCAAATATTTAATTGTTGCTATTGACTTAGAGTTTAGAACATTACGTGGAGTAAATAAATGGATACTCACGTATATAAGTTTAAATTTTTTTATCTTGGCTAATACTTAGTATTGTTGATTTGTCTGTAAGTCAGTTGCAGGTTAATTAATTAAAAAAAAAATTTTTTGGGAAAAATTTTTTTGAGATAAGGGGGATGTTGTGTAGCAATTAAATTTAATAACGTTAAAAACTTAGCAATATAATTCTTAAATATTAAGTCGTAGAAATATTATTATTTATTCAGCGCCATCTATCATCATGCATATAAATTATTCAATATCGAAATCCACTTTGAAAAGCAATGGACAAGTACAATATATGTGTGAACCTAGTAGTTGCATTTGGAATGTAAGTTAGAGGGAGCTAGTGTGCAATTTCTTTTGAATGAGATGCGGAAATGGATGTGACGTCACATTAATGTTCTGGAAACATTGAAAGGCGGAGTCAGCAAAACCGGTCCGTGTGCTTCCTCATACCAAATATGGTGATATGAGAGAAATTTGCAATGACGCTGTCACGTGTTGTAGTAGCCTATAAATAGCAGTGCACAAACAGATTCGCTCTCTTTTGGCTGATAGAACCTTGAAGACCATACTTAGAAAATAGCATTAAGACTAGCAGTGGTAGTCAGTGCATTATATACTTAATATTTCTCCCCGGATTAACGGGTAAGTTCAATACATTTGATTCGTTAGGCTGTAGGTCCAGTTAGTTTTTTTATTGAATTATAGAAAAATATGTAATTGGTTCTAGGTCCATTAATTTGGCTAATAAATAACAGTAATAGTCACATTTACTTGATCCTGATTGGAATCTCCTTGGAAATATATATATATATGAGCCTGTGAAGCTTTCTTGAGCAAAAAAGTGACGTGTTCACGTGATGACAGCAAGTCCTGCTTCATCCCTGAGGACATTTGAGTGATCCTGATGCTCCCATGATCTTGCCAAGCTAAGTAAAACTTATAACTTCTTGATATTTAACCAGTGCATACTCCGGAGAACAATTTCTGTTTAACGTGATAAAGGATTTCTATTGGTAAACTGTAAAGCCATTATAAGTACATAACAAATTTTTATTGTTAAATTTACAAAATTTAATATTTTATAACTTGTTTAATAATTTGTTTATATAAGAAACTTAAATTGAGTATTACTGTATTAGCACATGATCTTGAATGTTTGAATAGCTTTAAATCAAAAGAAAAATCTTTGAAGAAATATAACTATGTATTTTTAACTTGAATGTGACTAGTATTAAGTTTTAACCATGATGAAATAAGATCTGAATCTTTTTAACAATATAATATCTTGTTCACTGCTGTTTTAGACATTTTCATTTATCTCCCTCAAATCACAGTATCACGGCGCCCTGATTTTAAATTAAATAAGTTTCGAGTCTCATGTACGCCCTGAAATAGTCGGTGGTAACTAAAATTGTTACAATAGATGCAAAAGAAAAAAAAGGCGAGGCATTTGAAAACCTCAGGGGGCTAGAAATAACAAAATGAAATCGTAAGCGATAGCGTTTTCCAAAGCAATCCAGTTAGGCGATTGGCCCCCGGGTCTTCGCACTCATATCCTACCAGTCCAACGAGGCAGAATAGAATAATTATAAGCACTCGCAGTTTCAGGACATCGAGTCGGACAGTCTACCATCATACATCTGTTCCTGCTGCAAAGCGCTGCTTTTGAAATATACGACCTTCAGAAGCAGGTGCCGCCGCGCTCAGCAGGTGCTAGAAGAAGTGGAGTTTCACGGTGGTCAGGTAAAATAAATCCATTTTATTTTACATCATCATTGGCAGTTTATTAATGTCTCCACTGCTGGGGCACAGGCTTTCTCTATGGATGGAAAAGGGAGACTAGGCTGTGGGCCACCACGAGAGCCCGGTACGGATTGGTGGGTGCTAACGACTACTGATGCAGCCGGGACTAGAGTTGCCACCCGTACTTTATTATATTATACTAGCAAACCAGTGAACCAAATGTTCACCAAAACCTGATTTAAAAAAAAATGTATTTAATTAATTGAGAACTTCGGAGATTTTGTGTGGTTTCGTTTGAAATAGAAATCACGTGATTTCTCGAAAACCGGAAGTGCTACGTTACTCAAATCCGGTTTGTAGTCTTATCAGACTATTCTTAACTTATAACTTAAATATTCTGTTTATCTATCTCTTACGGTTTGGCCGCTGAAACAGCACCACAGACGGACGGACTTGTCTAATAGATAAGAGATTGTACGTTATTTCGTGTAATTGTACTCTACTCTACTTTATGCCAACAATAAAGTACGCGAAAATACTTTATTTAATGTGATTTGATTACTCGCGGATTAATTTTATATAAAATATCAGAAAGAGGTTGATAGGAAGTTTTTTTGCGTAAAACGGACAGAAAGTATGAATAGGTATGTTGCCCTTAGCTAATTCCTGCAACATTTTCGTGGCTGTATGCCTTTGTATCATGACCTTTCCCATTGCGAAAACAAATACAGTAGCCGCAAATTATTTATTAAAAGTTGCTAGTAGCAACGTGAAATATATTTTTAAGCTTACTAATAAAATGGAATATAAAGTAGGTACTTTATTTTGGACACAATGGAATGTTTTTTTCTACCTTTTATATCGTATGTACTTTATTTCGACAAATGAAGGTGGCAATCCTTACCGGGACCAACGACTTAGCGTACCTTCGAAGCGAGGAGAGATAAATTAAAATTTTGTCTTTCATCGTATGCCTGACACATGCGAAAGTTTTATAACAGAAACGTAAACAGACTCCTTGACCTATCAATTGTTTGATCATTAATTTAGTATTTAGAACAACAACCCAATACAATAACAAATCCCATAGCATTTGTAGTATTATCAAGGATTAAACCGTTAACACCGAGATATTACTGAAGAAAAGCAAACAATTAGTTAAAAAAAAGAGATGTGGTGTCGTGGGACACCAGGTAGGAACGAAGTTCCTTCGGCTAATGCGCATTTAACGGTTTTATTCCACGCACTTTTTTCAACGGATTTTTTCTTACGGTTTTCTAAGCTACTGTTCGAAAAGATTGCTAGGCAGGACTGGCCCACAGTTTATAATAAACTACAATGTCACAATAATCCAGTAATGCAGCCCCGTCGCTCTGCCACCCCCCTGGACTTAACCACAGTTTAGTATAATATACGACAATAATCCAGTGTTGGTATAATGCCACAATAATTTGGGGTTGCACCCCCGTCGCTCTGTCACCCCCTGTTACCTGAGTACCTAAGTACTGACCTTGTTATCATGTCTAGCTTAAGTTTACAGCAGATGACAGGCGTTCCTGGTCCACAGCTCGGTATAACGTCACAAATATCCAGATTTCGTGTAATGTCACAATATTCCAGTGCTGCACCCTCGTAGCTGTGCCACCCCCTACATACGCACCTTATTATCATGTCCTGCTAGCGTTCGTAAAGGATGCTAGGCAGGACTGGCCCACAGTTTAGAAAAAACTACAATGTCACAATAATCCAGTGATGCACCCCCGTCGCTCTGCCACCTCCTGATAAGTACTCACCTTGTAATCATAATCATGTCTCACAGGCGTTACTGGTCCATAGCTTGATATAACTTCACAAATATCCAGTGTTGGTGTAATATAACAATATTTCAGTGATGCACCCTCGTCGCTCTACCACCCCCTATAACTTCACACATATTCAGTGTTGGTGTAATATCACAATATTTCAGTGATGCACCCTTGTCGCTCTACCACCCCTCTATAACTTCACACATATTCACTGTTGGTGTAGTATCACAATATTTCAGTGATGCACCCTCGTCGCTCTACCACCCCCTATACCTTCACACATATTCACTGTTGGTGTAGTATCACAATATTTCAGTGATGCACCCTCGTCGCTCTACCACCCCCTATACCTTCACACATATTCACTGTTGGTGTAGTATCACAATATTTCAGTGATGCACCCTTGTCGCTCTACCACCCCTCTATAACTTCACTCATATTCACTGTTGGTGTAGTATCACAATATTTCAGTGATGCACCCTCGTCGCTCTAGCACCCCCTATAACTTCACACATATTCAGTGTTGGTGTAATATCACAATATTTCAGTGATGCACCCTTGTCGCTCTACCACCCCTCTATAACTTCACACATATTCACTGTTGGTGTAGTATCACAATATTTCAGTGATGCACCCTCGTCGCTCTAGCACCCCCTATAACTTCACACATATTCAGTGTTGGTGTAATATCACAATATTTCAGTGATGCACCCTTGTCGCTCTACCACCCCTCTATAACTTCACACATATTCACTGTTGGTGTAGTATCACAATATTTCAGTGATGCACCCTCGTCGCTCTAGCACCCCCTATAACTTCACACATATTCAGTGTTGGTGTAATATCACAATATTTCAGTGATGCACCCTCGTCGCTCTACCACCCCCTATACCTTCACACATATTCACTGTTGGTGTAGTATCACAATATTTCAGTGATGCACCCTCGTCGCTCTACCACCCCCTATACCTTCACACATATTCACTGTTGGTGTAGTATCACAATATTTCAGTGATGCACCCTCGTCGCTCTACCACCCCCTTTAACTTCACACATATTACGGGAGTATAATACGCCGCACAGCTTACAATAGCTTACTATAGCAAAAGTGTCGTGACAACTTTTCGTAAGAATTTTTTCCGTCTAGCCCCCTTTCACAACGCGCGATAAGGAACTTCCTTCCAACATAATATTTTACATTTATCAATGTCCTATTTCTTTTAAATGCCGCTCTTTTACTAACTATCTTTTGATATGTCTCGATTACATAAAGTGGTATCCAGATACCCCTTTGGGAAACCTAGTACAACCAATGGCCTGACGATGGCCACGCTTAGATTCCTATAAATAGCTTATTTATAATGCGATTGAAATAAGAATAGGAAAGCCAATGACCTCCAACTGTCAAATGTCGCTTCAAAAGTACGGTTTGCAAAAAAAGTCTTTGAACCCTTTTTTACCGCATTCGGCTAATTCTAGATTAAAAACCAGACATTTGTAAACAAACAATAACAAATATTGATAATTAATATTGGTTGATATTTTCTTTTCATTTATTGAGCTTTGGCTATGAATGGTTGATAACCTAAACCACCAACCAAAAGTCACTTTAAGTTGCGTTCAGAAACTCAATTTAAAACTTTCGTTTACCTAAAGGATGCATGTTCGTATGTGACCTAGTAATAGTGCATGAATATTCATAACTGCCGGAGTACGGCGGTAATGCAGAGATGAGTGGAATTGAAGAGCTAGATTCTGATTTATGTTTTTTCTCACACAGTCTTAATAAAGAAATATTATTAAAAATTAGTTGTTTTTTTTCTCAATCTTAGTAAATATTTTAATAAAAAAAATCTGATGTTTTTTCTCACTTAATCTTAGCTAGAAGTTTTATTAAATAAAATCTTTTTTTTGCTCACTCTACCTATTTGGTTTGAATTGACAGCTATGACATCAAAATATGGCCCCCAGTCGGTCCTATTCTTAGTTGAATCGCATTATACGTTAATAAGGGTGGCAAACAAGCATATATTGCACCTAGGGTTGCCAGGTGAGTCGCAAAAAAATACCGGACAACCCCAACGGGGGGGGGGGGGGGGGGAGTATAGTAGAGCGAGGAACGCGAGTTTTACGTTTGAGGGATTTCATATGCCTGCTTCTGTGGGCGCTTGTGACCAGTAGCACCGACTTTCCTCAAAATACCGGACATTGTTCTTGTTCTATCCGGTATGACCATTTATTATTTACCGTACAGGTTTTGAAAATACCGGACTGTACGCTTAAATACCGGACATCTGGCAACCCTAATTGCACCTGATAGCCTATACATACGCTTGCGATACAAAAAATATCAGTTGAGCCATTGTCTTCCCTGACGCCACCCCTTACTGACTGACAGAAACACAACACCACCGAAACATGGTGATATTTTACTGTGGTCTTTTGTTAGGAGAAGGTTATTTCCTCAGACGCTCGAAATCAAGCGGGGAATCCGCTATGCAATACCTCTCTTAGGTCCGTATTATAGAAAGATTCTCAGTAATAATCCGGTCTTGAGCATAGTCAGAAAAGGATAATGCTATAGGTACATAGCACACTAGGGGCCCGCCCTCGCTTCGCTTCGGTGTAGAGCTGAAGTGTAGACTACAGTTTTTGTTCTCAGGCTTGTATTATACACAATGACATTCATTTATGATTATTCTTATACCTCAGTCAAAGTCTCAGCCCGATTGGTTTCATATTGACAAAGTTTCATACACACTTTCATTCCCTATTTTATCCCCTTGGGGGTAGAATTGATCGAAATGCTTTCTTAGCGGATGCCTACGTCATAACATCTTCCTGCATGCCAAATTTTAGCCCGATCCATCCAGTGGTTTGGGCTGGGCGTTGATAGATCACTATGTCAGTCAGTCAGTCACCTTTGAGTTTTATATATATAGAAGATATCGCCATCCCTTTCTAACTGTACTCAAGTAAAGATCAACACTTAGTTGTTATTCTGTAACACGAGCCTTAGTTTTTAATAATTCAGTGTTTCCTTTCAGTTGACGACAGACTTCATAGCGTCCATTGACCGTCCATACTACGGCCTGAATATGAATTTGACAACATCAAACCCAGTCACCATGGACAGCGAAGATGTCGACAATGAGACCGAAGTGGAATATATAAACAGCTGCACCGAAGACAAGCCGTTCGTCAAACTCGTGTTCTTTGAAGAGTCCGAGCAAAACGACGAAAATGTTCTACACAACGTCTGTGATGAATACGTGATCGAAGACTTGGACAACAATGATCCAGAATTCGAAAACATGAATCCTGAAGTTGTCGAACGCGCAAACGTTGACGAGGTCAATTGCAACGCCCCAGAGTTCTGGTGCACCTACTGCGGGGAGTCGTTTTTGAACGACGTAGGTCTCCGGAATCATAAGAAGAAGACGCATTTTGATGTGCCGATGAGGGAGTTTCTCTGTGACACCTGTGAGGTTCCCTTCTTGAATGCGGAAGCTTTGAGAGAGCATTGCAGTGGTTTATGCACTCCAAATCCTTGCGTGCATTGCGGGATGAGTTTCGAGAGTGAATTGTATCTGAAGTTCCACATTCTACACGTGCATAGGAAGGTTAAAAGGAACATGTTGAAATGTGATGCTTGTTATACGGAGTTTGTGAGTGCCAGAGCTCTGAGCACGCATTTGAGTTTGACGCACAGTACCTGTAGGGGGTTGAGCTCTTGTGTCCAGTGTGGGAAGAGTTTTATCACTCCAGGGCTGATGAAGAAGCATGTTGCTGATAAGCATGAGGGCAAAGAATTTGTTTGTCAAAAGGTGAGCGATGCATTAAAAAGGCGTTTTAAATTAATTTAAATGACTAGCAATAGCAACTCGTCCAGTATATTATGGTGTGTGATTTTTTTAACTACGGAAATCACGTGTTTTTTTTTGCCTTGATTGCTATTGATACAACCAATCACAATCAAGGTTACATAGGCATAGAAAATATTGCGAATTAGGTAATCCAGTTAGGTCACCTTCGATTTTTACAAAGAAGACCTTCGATTTTGTCCAATTTTGTACAAATTTCAAAAAATATTTAAAAGTATTATTTTAAAAAGACCCACTCACCAAATTCTCAATAAATTAATAAGAAATTGCTGAAAAACTGTATCAAAATAGGCAATATACCTTTAAAGAAACGTTATAAATAACAAAATGGTATTTTGCACATACGACCTTTTATCTTATAAAAACAAATCTTGGTCCTTTTAAAAAAATTATATCTGATACTTGGAAAAAACGATAAAGGGGGAAAAAGGAAAATATGAAATCAACATTATGACCCACAAAATAACATATTTTCATCAGTCATTGGCCAGCGAGTTACTTAGTTTTGTACTAACCGAACTAATTAAATATAAGATCTCACGCATTAAGTGAGGCAATATTAACCGAGCGAGACAGAATTTACGCTCTGTCCCGTTATCTATAGAATTGTTGATCGAAGATTATACTATTTCATTCCTTTTCATTATAACCTTATATTTAAACAAAAAGAGAGAAGATACGCCACTCGCGGCTCAAAAGTGGTAGTGGTGCATGACCACAATTAGACACAATTGGACATTCAAACACGCTGCATGTGCACTCAATATAACAATATTGCGTATTTTCTGTTTTATAAAGATAAAACAATGCCGTTGATGATATTATAAAGAACAAAGATTGTTCAAAATCAAATAACAAATGCCTCGGCATCACCTTTCATTTGTAAAACTGTAAATAATCTTTTTCTCAAAAATCACGGTTTGTTGTGAATGTTATTAATGTAATCGCCATTTTGTTATCAAGAAATGGACAACAATACAGCTCAGCCGTGCGGACTCGGACTTGCCGTTTCGCTCGCGCTGCGTTTAAGCGTACACTTCTGTCTCGCTCGCTCGATTGAATGTTTATTTATAGATGTGTGTGTGTGAGAGCGTTTTTATGTATAATGCGATTCAAATAAGAATAGGAAAGCCAATGACCTCCATCTGTCAAATGTCGCTTAAAAATACGGTTTGCAAAAAATCTTGAAACCCTTTATTAGCACTCAGCTAATTCTAGAATAAAAACCAAATATTTGTAAACAAACAATAACAAATATTAATGATTAATATTGTTTTTTTTTTTAGCTTTGGCTATGACTGTTTGATAACCTAAATCGTCAACCAAATGTCACTTTAAATTGCGTTCATAAACTCGATTTAAAACTTTCGTTTACATAAAGGATGCATGTTTGTATGTGACCTAGCCATAATATATGATTATTCATAACTACTCCGGCGGTAATGCAGAGATGAGCGGAATTAAAGAGCTAGATTCTGTTTGTTTTTTCTCACACAGTCTTAATAAATAAATATTATTAAAAATCGGTTCGTTTTTTTTTCTCCAACTTAATAAATAATTTTATTAAAAAATCTGATGTTTTTTCTCACCTAATCTTAGAAAATAAGTTTTAGTAAATAAAAACTTTTTTTTGCTCACTCTACCTATTTTGTTTGAATTGACAGCTATGACGTCACAATATGGCGCCCAGTCGGTCCTATTCTTAGTTGAATCGCATTATAGTTGAGTCGGAGCATATTTTATTTGATGCTGGTATGAGCGTACAGTATCTTCCCTTTTCGTTTTAATCTAAGATTATAACCTATTCTTTTCTACCCCCCAGTGCGGCAAGACTTTCCCCACAGTACACACGTATGGCAAACATTACGAATTAATCCATATGAAACACAAGAATCGCCGTCCCACTCGCCTCACCGGGCCCAAGAAATGGGGCGTGGTGTCCGTCGCTGGGGCCACGCTTATTGCTGGGTGCTCGGGCGAAGATGACAGGAGCGATGAAGCTGATAGGGAGGACGGAAGCGTAGTGTGCGAGTTTTGCGGCAAAATATGTATGGTGAGTCACTCTATCTTGAATCTCTTATCTATTAGACAAATCCGTCCGTCCGTCTGTCTGTGGTGCTGTTTCAGCGGCCAAACCGTAAGAGATAGATAAAGAGAATGTTTAAGTTATAAGTTAAGAATAGTCTGATAAGACTACAAACCTGATTTGAGTAACGTAGCACTTCCGGTTTTCGAGAAATCACGAATTTCAAACGAAACCGCACAGAATCTCCGAAGTTCTCAATTGGTGAACATTTGGTTCACTGGTTTGCTAGTTTTCTTTTACGTGTGGTCCTACTGTGTTGTAAGGGGCTGCTTAAGAGAGGAAGCGGGCAATGTTTTTTCATACAAACTCTTTGATTTTTATCTCTAAAGAAATGATTTTCATACATAAATTATTCGGAATGCACGCTAAGCCGTTGGTCCCGGCTGCATCTGCAGTCGTTAGCATCCACCAATCCGCACTGGGCCCGCTTGGTGGGTCAAGTCCCGACCGAATCTCCCCATTCCATCCATTGGTTAGGCGTTTCCCCCAGCAATGGGAGCATTAATAGGCTGTTGATGATGAATTATATTCTGCCACGAACTCTGACCAGCCCATTCTTCTCATCAGCTAAAAGATGTCCTGAATGGGTAATAGGAAAAAAAGGGCGATTCAAAACAGCTTTCAATAAGAAGTGTTCACTAAAAAAAAAATGGGTGCGTGTACTTATGTAGGCGCGTGAGAAGTTATCCTTCTTTGGCATCGTTTAAAATTAGTTTTTAATTGCATGCAAATAATTAATTACAATAAATTAATAAAAAGTCTGGAAAAGGACACAGTCAATAAAGTTCAGTTTTAATTTGAAAAAATAAATAAATAATCAAAATATTCAATTAAAATCGCTACTGAATACAATTTATTAGAACATATGTGATTTGCACTTGTATGAAACTCAAACACGTATTCCGAATATACAAACTAGAAACATGTGGATAAATATTATAAATATGAATACCTATAACTGTTACTTCATTACAAAAAATAAAGATGTGGTTTTTGGTTCTACTACACCAATGGTCAAGAGATGGCGCTGTAGTCTCCTGAATCGCGCTTTGGTTCCGTTGTTCCAGATTAATAAATACTTTTGATATTATAAATATGAATACCTATAACTGTTACTTTATTACAAAAAATAAAGATGTGGTTTTTGGTTCTACTACACCAATGGTCAAGAGATGGCGCTGTAGTCTCCTGAATCACGCTTTGGTTCCGTTGTTCCAGATTAATAAATACTTTTGATAGGCCTTCACAATGCAGTCGTTAGCACCCACTAAATAGAGATTCTATTTCTATTTTGTTGGTAGATTTTCTTAATGTGCGGTAAACACAAAAGTAACAGCATGAAGTTGGTCGCTAAAGCGACCGAAGCGAATTTTTGTGTTACAGTGATGCGCGCGCATCTTAAAATTTCACTCTCATCATTTTTTCATAACGCGCCTAAAGAAGTATAACTTCAAAAAATTCACTCGGACCAGGCAGCAGACGGGACTCGAACCCGCACCCTTCGCTATCCGGGCGAATGCACTGACCATTATGCTACCGCGGCCTTGACGGCCGTGTCGAATGTTTCCTAGCCTTAGGCTGCAAGGCAGCGCCATCTCTTCGCATTGTAGGTAACCCACAATGTCAAATGAATACTTTAACAAGTATTAAACATTTGAAAGAAGAAATAGCAATTATATTTATGTTTTTAATATTTTAAGCATTTAACTAGATGTTTTAAATCAGTTCAATACTTAAAAAAACAAAAAACATGCTTTGCATAAGTCAATTTTGAATAACTTATATTTTCATTTCAATTCATAGGAATGATTCCTGTATTGTCCACAGAACAGCAGCCTCCTTGAATACCATCAACTAATCCACACTAGAGAGAAACCATACAAGTGTGTCATCTGTCAAAAAGGGTTCACTACCCCCATATTGCTTAAGGTATTGTATAATTATTGGAATGCAACTAATACTCAATTTAAAATTGTTTTTTTAATAATTTATTAGTATTTTGTATGCTCTTCAAAGGACGAAACATTATGGAACTTTATATCATTTACCAATTGTAACCAACTATGTTTCATGCCAATAAATTTTCATTTCATGTACACGTTAATTTTTAAAATTATACAATAAGGGAACATTGGTGTCGATTCTGACATGATTCTCTAAAGCTAAACATAAATTTGACAACAGTATATCCTCGTCCTTCTCTATACAGAATGAAAAGGACAGCCTGATGTTAAATTAAGTTTTAAGTTTAGTGTTTCCCTCGTAGCATAGCAACACATTAATACACTATATTTTTCTTGTTTTCGCCCTAGCAACACATAGTGTTATTTTCTAGTTTCCCTCGTAGCAAGAAATAAATACTGTTTTTTTTTCTTGTTTTCCCTGTAGCAACATAGATACAGTATTATTTTCCCCGTAGCAACACATAAATACTGTTTTTTTTTCTAGTTTTCGCAGGAGAAATAAATAAATACTTATTTTTTGTTATCACCGTAGCAACACATAAGGGTGCACACTGGGGAGAGGCCGCACAAGTGTGAATACTGCCCGAAGATGTTCAAGTCTAGATCTGCCCTCAACAGGCACACATTGGTACGTAGATCTTTATTTCTTGGGACATATTACACTGTCAATAATATCACGACATAGTGATAACATTGACAGTGGAACTTAGATTAAAACAAAAAGGGTAGATACGGTACGCTCATACTTGCATCAAACAAAAACTGATCCCACGGCAGCGCGAACGGGACGGCGTGATCCGCGTCACTGCATTACCGACCCGAACGAAACAGCACGTTAAGTTTCAACGGCAGCGCGAACGAGACGGCGAGATCCGCGTCACTGCACTACCGACCAATCACGCGACCAGTACTCGACGTCACTACCGAATAAGATTCAAAACAAACAGCAATTTTTATGAAAAAATATATTTTATAGTACTTACGAATGACAAGCGATGCCGTGGGTTTTATTTTTAGTTCTTGCGCAATTTGAGCACTTTTTAAACACACACTTAGGCATTGTTTTATCATATAAACACAAAATATTCCCAATATTTCTTTTTGGCGTTCACATGTAAGTCGTTTGCATGTCAAGTTGTGACTAAAGCGATTAGGGTCGTGGACCTCGATTCATGCGGACCACCTTTGTGAGGCTAGTGCCGTATCTACCCATTTTGTTTTAATCTAAGCAGAGGAAAGGCAAATTCGCATATATGCCACTTTGCCATATATATTGTTTGAATCAGATTTTTTCTGTGGCGATCTGTATATGTTTCGTGAGGAATTGAGTACTGTTTTGGCGTTTAAGCAACTAATTTTTTTTTAAGTTCTTTATTGTTCACAACGCTGACGAAGCGACATAAATTTTGGTGTTTTTGAACCAATGGAGCTTACGCCCTACTATTTGGCGTGTGATTTGATGTTGCTTGACAAAAAATGTATGGCGGGGAGAATGATTTTCGCTTAAGCGATATCTAATTAGTAAAGTAAAGGCACTATGTAACTTTTTAATAGGAGTATATTTATAAAATATTATTGTATGAATATGTTTCTATTTTTATGGCGCTACTTCGCATTTACAATGTGTTATGGTTATGATTTAAAAACTAAAAACTTTTTTTTTTATTTAGGATAACTAACAATTGTGCAATATTGTACGTAATATAGTAACACTAATAAATATATTGATGTCATTACACAACCAACACCGTTATCCACTAAAAATATATCACAACACAGAGATTATATTTTTATAAAACATGATAAGTTTGCGATATCTATACTACTTGCAAATCGATGGTATAAATAAAAAAAGTTACAAAACACAATTTTTAAATGTTTGGTAAACAATCAGTAATCTAAAAAACTTTGATCCTAGTGGCGTTTATGCGATTTTGCTTTTCAGCTGTCGACATTGGCAGTATGATATGCGCCCTTATCGCAGAATCACTATATTGCGATCCTAGTGTCACGAAAATATTGATCAATGTAAGATACCCCATACAGTACTGCGGCGATCTACCCTGAAGGGGTAGAACCTGGGAGCGTAGCAATTTATTGAAACAACTTTGATTTTAAATATTGGTTTTATTAGAAATCAGGCGAATATAATTGGTGCCTGAAGTCATGACAAGTCATCTCATGTCATCTTCTATCAAACGACAGGCGATTCCTAATTTCAAATATTAAAATCATGACATTTACTTTTTAATATGACTGCCAGCCGTAGGCATTACATGAACAAAGAGTTTACCCAAACAAGGAGGCTGTAACGTAACGGATGTTACAGTACGAACAAGTTCTTGTGACACTTAGAGGACACTATCAGCAGACCCCTCTTTCCCAGTAGGCACTTTGGGCAGGTGCCCATGGCCCCGCGATCGATAGGGGCCTCCCTCAGACCAAATACAAAGTCCCTAGTTCATGTCAGATCACCAAACGATAACCAATATGTATTACCAAAAAACTTATATAATTCGCTGAAATCGAACCTAAATTACTGACCACAATACCAACTTTACAAATAACTAGCTTAGGGGGTGTCCATAAATTACGTGAGGTGTTTTTTTAGATTTTCTGTCCCTCCCTCCCCCCCTGGTGAGATGTCGTGAGATTTTATTCAACCCCCTCCCCCATCCCCCAATCTCACGTGAGATTTTTCAAAATGTGGGTTTCTTTCGTGAACGCGTTGGATTGTTATTGTAAAAAGAAAAAAAAATGCTTCGTGCTTTTATTTACGACTAGTTAAGACTAGTAATCAATATTGCTGAGAGTTATAAGTGTAATAAAAATTTAATAATAGAATACTTAATAGATGCGACTGTGAAAAAAAATTGCGTGATATTTGCCGAGACCCCCCCTCTCTCCAACGTAAGATTAGATGAGATTTGACTCGACCCCCTCCCCCCTTAAACATCTCACGTAATTTATGGACGCCCCCTTACTAGCTTTTACATAAGCGAAGCTATTCTACTCTCACCCAAAAAGTAGGCTTTCCGACTTCAGCATGCTTAGATAAATTTAAATATACATATAATCTCTTATCTATTAGACGAGTTCGTCTGTCCGTGGTGCTGTTTCAGCGGCCAAACCGTAAGAGATAGATAAAAAGAATATTTAAGTTATAAGTTAAGAATAGTCTGATAAGACTACAAACCGGATTTGAGTAACGTAGCACTTCCGGTTTTCGAGAAATCACGAATTTCAAACGAAACCACACAAAATCTCCGAAGTTCTCAATTAATTAAATACATTTTTTTTTAAATCAGGTTTTGGTGAACATTTGGTTCACTGGTTTGCTAGTGGTATACTAAGCACATACACATTTTGAAGAAAAATCATCAGTTATACACTCATCAGTATGACTCGCTCAATTTCAAGTCATAATCCACATCGAAGTCATAGGGGCCCCATTATCCTAATATGCCCAGCCAGCCCCTCTAGCATGACCACCGAAACGGGATATGATAAAGCGATATATCGGCATTAACTGTCTGACTACAGTGGAGTTTGACAGTAGTCTGACAGTTAATGTCGATATATCGCTTTATCATATCCCGTTCCGGCAGCATGAGTAACAAAACGGGATATGATAAAGCGATTTATCGACATTAACTGTCAAACTACAATGGAGTTAGGCTAGGGGGGCTGGGCCTTCAATAGGTTAAAGACGGCCCTGACTACAAGGAGAGCGGTGCTGCTGTATAAATGGTGAAATGAGGGTTACTGAGGACGTAACGTCTGCTCATTCAAATGGGAACAAATTCGCAATGACTCGGAACGTCTAATAAGAAATATTAAATGCTTGTATACACCTTTTATAATTTAAAGTATCGCGAAAATTACGAAACAAAATTGCTCATAAATAAAAAATGGGTGCGTGTACTTATGTAGGCGCGTGAGAAGTTATCCTTCTTTGGCATCGTTTAAAATTAGTTTTTAATTGCATGCAAATAATTAATTACAATAAATTAATAAAAAGTCTGGAAAAGGACACAGTCAATAAAGTTCAGTTTTAATTTGAAAAAAAATCAAAATATTCAATTAAAATCGCTACTGAATATAATTTATTAGAACATATGTGATTTGCACTTGTATGAAACTCAAACACGTATTCCGAATATACAAACTAGAAACATGTGGATAAATATTATAAATATGAATACCTATAACTGTTACTTTATTACAAAAAATTAAGATGTGGTTTTTGGTTCTACTACACCAATGGTCAAGAGATGGCGCTGTAGTCTCCTGAATCGCGCTTTGGTTCCGTTGTTCCAGATTAATAAGTACTTTTGATAGGCCTTCACAATGCAGTCGTTAGCACCCACTGAATAGAGATTCTATTTCTATTTTGTTGGTAGATTTTCTTAATGTGCGGTAAACACAAAAGTAACACATGAAGTTGGTCGCTTTAGCGACCAACTTCATGCTGTTAAAATTTTGTGTTACAGTGATGCGCGCGCATCTTAAAATTTCACTCTCATCATTTTTTCATAACGCGCCTAAAGAAGTATAACTTCAAAAAAAACTACCGGGCCAAACTAGATAACTTTTTTATGGGACTATGAGAAAGTTTTTAGAAAAATGAAGGCCGTTCCGAAGTAATTAATGCTGAGCATCTACATACGTTCGATTTTATCGCCCGGCTGTATTGATAAAATAAATAAAAAGCCTTTTTATTTCTTACAATCTATTTTAGTGTTAGTTCATGTAGTTTAATCTATGTTAGTATAATTTCTTCTTTCTTTACTTAATTCTATGTGTAAAGTAGGATACTTTCTATATTATTTTTTATAAAAGTATTTTAAATTTAATCTACTGGAACCTCAGTCTTCAGCTACTTTTCTCCAGTTTGGACCAGCTATCGCTTTAATGTCGTCTTCCCATCGTGTAATAGGTTTACCTTTTGTTCTTTTGCCTCGTGGGCCATTCCAGAAATTTATTTTTTTGGTCCATCTATGGTCAGTTAGCCGGTTAGCTGTATTGATACCTTAATAAAATCAATTCCGATTTCGGCCGCGTGCTGACGTACAAAAACTACAATACCTTGGTCGCAATGTATTGTCCCGTATTCCCAGGGCGGATTTAGGATTGTGGAGGCCCCGGGCCACTTAGGATTTGCATGCTTGTTGACCCATCGAAATGTTGTTATTTATTAAGCTGTTGTGGAGGCCCCTGGGCCATGGCCCCACCTGCTCTGCCTTAAATTCGGCCCTGCAGCCATAAAACGATTGGGGTACTCCCTCAAGATGGGTAGTGAATTGGAAGTGCTTATCAGGGCCATTTTCTGTTATTTAAGATTAATATAATCAAACTAGCTGACCCAGCGAACTTCGTAACTAAAAAAAATAGGGGTTGTCAGCGGACAAAATTGTGAATCTAAACCATTCTCAGATCCCCTTGAACACACACAAAAAATTTCATCAAAATCGGTCCAGTCGTTTAAGAGAAGTTCAGTGACATACACACTCACAGAAGAATTATATATATAAAGATAATCATGTATGTTAAATGTACAAAGTACTGTAGCCTGTAGGTAAAGATAAAAGAGCAAAAAAAAATATCAAAGGAAAAGATGTTTACTAG